TTGGAAGAATTGGTGTGAATTCATGGTTTTCACTATATAGAGAGATATAGATAGATGATAAGTAGGTACTTACAGAAGTAAGTGTGTGTGTGTGTGTGTGTGTGTGTGTGTACAAAGTCTAACTTTACCAAGTGAGGGGCTTAGGAGCAGGGACGCACCCGTCTCCATACCTACTGCCCAGATCATGGCTTCTAAATACCATTATCCACTGAAAAAAACATTCCTTGGAGAAAGAGCTGACTCTAGTGCTGGGACAGGGAAAGAACTGAAAGTAGAAGTGCAGTCACTCAGTAGTGTCTGACTGCTTGCAACCCCATGAACTGTATGTAGCCCACCAGGCTCCTCTGTCCACATAATCTCCAGGCAAGAATACTGGAGTGGGTTGGCACGCCCTTCTCCGGGCAATCTTCCCGACCCAGGGATTGAACCCGGGCATCCCACATTTCAGGCAGATTCTTCACCATCTGAGTCACCAGGGGACGTACTGGGTTGGCCAAAACGTTCATTTGGGCTTTCCCATAAGATGTTATGGAAATATCAGAACAAACTTTTTAGCCAATCCAATATAAGAGAAGCCTGGAACACCTTGTTAAGCCAAAAAAGAATGAAGTAAATAATGAGACATGTTAAAAAGAGAGAGGAGCTAGGATGAAGAGAATCCCATTAGCAAAATCTCAACAATTTCAGTATTAAATAATAATAGTAAAAACTACAACCCATCTGAAAAAAATAGGAAACCTCAAATGTATGGTAATACAAACAAACATAAATAAATGGAAAATTTGCAGAGAAACAGCGTACTTAAATAGCTTCAAAGTACCACAACACAAAAGACACATGAATTACAAAGGTTAAAAAGTAACTTTACAGTGGTGAAGCCTAGGAGACAACATCTTAATCGAATGATCAAAATGAACAGAAATAATGAGACAAATCAATATCATGGGCTACTTAATAGGATGCAATGAGAAGCACACAGCATCATTGCTGTGAAATTCCTGCCAAGGATACATAATCTAAATCTAACCACAAAGATGGGAAACAGAAACAGGAACATTCTATTAAACTACTGGCCTCTGTGCTGCAAAAGTCAACAAAACACTAAGCAATCATTTCAGCCTGAAGACAACTAAAGAGACATGACGATTCAAGGCAACACATGATTCTGAAATGAATTTTTTTGAACTAAAGAAACATTATTTGGACAACTGGCTAAACTTGAAGTTGTGGGTTGGATGATAATACTAAATTCATGTTAAAGTTTTCAATTTGAGGACCACAGTGTCGTTGCAGTCTTTGAGGAAATAGCCCTTTTTGCACACAAGAGCTTGGCTTCCCCAATAGGTCAGCAGGTAAAGTCTTCCTGCAATGCAGGAGATGCAGGTTCAATCCCTGGGTTGGGAAGATCCCCTGGAGAGGGAAATGGCAATCCATTCCAGTACTCTTGCCTGGAGAATCCCATGGACAGAGGAACCTGGCAGGCTATCGTCCACAGGGTTGCAAAGAGCTGGACATGATTCAGCATGCAAGCACATACACAAGAGCTTGCAGATATACCAGCAGACACAGAGCAGAGAAATCCTCAGAGGTCACCTAATACAACACCCCCACTGTCCAGATGCCCCCAAAGAATATCACATTTGGAAGGAAGCCACACTGCCAACATCCTTCATAAGCCTCTTGAGATCTCTTTAAAGACAGAAGTAACAAAACTGAATTTTAATGATATTCAGAAAAGAGAAAGAGGGTAGAACATCACTCAAACTTCCACGTGGCTCTAGAGGTAAAGAACCCACCTGCCAATGCAGGAGACGCTGGAGACGCGGGTTGACCCCTGGGTCAGGAGGATCCCCTGGAGGAGGGCGTGGCAGCCCACTCCAGTATTCTTGCCTGGAGCATCCCATGGACAGAGGAACCTTGTGGGCTACACTTCATGGAGTCGCAAAGAGTTGGAGACGACTTAGTGACTAAAGAATAACAACAAAGGGCCAAAGGTGCACCACAGAACTATAAAGATTATAGTTAGATAGATTATATCTTTTTCTTTGAGCAGTGTTGGCTGTAAGTGGGTAGGTGACAGCTGTGTCTTCCTATGGAGAAGGCTTGACTAGTTTGGAATCAGAAGGAAAAAGAACCCTAGAGCTGGTCTAGCTTTTGAGCAGCTTGTGGCTTTGGACAAGGTGCTTGCTTTCTTCAGAGTGTGGTTCCTGGACCTACAGCATTAACATTAGGTGACAGCTCATTAGAAACACAAATTGAGATCTCAATGAATCAGAAGCTCTGGACATGGGGCCCAACCATTCCAGTGGTTCTGAAATGCACTCAGGTTTGAGAGCCATAGGCCAATCTATAATCTAATTATAATCAAGGTGTGAAGTGAAAGTCACGCAGTCATGTCCCACTCTTTCCAACCCCCTGGACTATACAGTCCATGGAATTCTCCAGCCTAGAATATGGAGTGCATAGCCTTTCCCTTCTCCAGGGGATCTTCCCAACCCAGGGATCGAACCCAGGTCTCCCACATTGCAGGCGGATTCTTTACCAGCTGAGCAACAAGGGAAGCCCAAGAATACTCAAGTAATCAGCCTATCCCTTCTCCAGCAGATCTCCCCAACCCAATAAAGGATTAAAAGTTCATTTATTTTAAAAAGTTAGTGCTTATTTCAAAAGACTAAGGCACTAAGTAATATACTGCATAAATTAATACTGAATGATTTTTTTCCCACTACATAAATATTTCAAATAACTTATCTTAGCATTTGAGGCTAAATCTCTGTCTGGATTAATGATTAATACCAGTGAAGGAAAAACACCCAAGAAATATATTTGATGCTATTTAAACAAAGAGAATAAAACAAAACTATGATCATTTAAATAGCTGCATAAAAATTACATGTACTATTATTCTACATAGCAATTGGTTTTTGTCTACAAAAACCAATTTTTCTATAGTTTTACAGAGCAATTGTTTTTCTTTTGTCTATACTGCTATTTTCCAACAAAGAAATGAACATGATTCTAATTCTTGCAAATAAAATTAAAATATTGTATGTCAATTATAGCTCAAGAAAAAAAAGCAAAAAATGGTTTAATTGTGCTTCTTGAAAGAAAAACTTCTACGTTTTGGTGAAACAACAGTGCATCAAATGGTAAACAGAGTCACAGACATACCCTGAAGATACCAAGGTGACTAAGGCCTATGCCCATTCTTCTTCTCCATCCATCATCTTTCTGGATCTTCCAATCTAGGAAACTCCTTTTTTTACTCAAGTCCACATTTCAAAGATACAACTAGAGTTTAAAATATAACCTACTAAAGGGCAGTGAGTAAAGATGACTCAACATGGTGAGGAAATCACCTGCCTTCATAAAGACAAGCTTCTACCGTTTGACAAGTTCTGGACCACCTCATGACGTCCAGGCTGTTTAATGAGAACACTTTTAGAGGGGGGAAAAAAGTACTCATAGGTATTATATAAATTTATAGCTAATTTTCTCAAAATTGGCCGCTAAAAATAGAATTCTCCTTATACTATTGTATACTTACTTGGCACATTGTGAGTACTATTACATACTATTTGTGAATCGACTCCAGTGTTCTTGCCTGGAGAATCCCAGGGACGGGGGAGCCTGGTGGGCTGCTGTCTATGGGGTCGCACAGAGTCAGACATGACTGAAGCAATGCAGCAGCAGCAGTAAACTATTATATATGTTATACCTACTATATGTATGGTGTATAACCGTTTACTAGGTACTCACAAATAGTCTGTGTGTGTGTGTGTGTGTTAGTCACTCAGTCATTTCCGACTCTTTGCAACCCCATGGACTGTAGCCCACCAGGCTCCTCTGTCCACGGAATTCTCCAGGCAAGAACACTGGAGTGGATCGCCATTTCCTTCTCCACACAATTAGTATATAATAGTAAGTATATGGTATATAATAGTATACTAGGTGCTCACAATGTTAAACCCTCTCCTTCAATCTCCAAACAAGTGCTACTATTATAACCATTTAACAGATTAAGAAATTTAAGCACAGAGTAAGTTATTTGTCCAAAGTCACACAGCTAAAGTGAAGATTCACAATACAGATAAGCAAGCTATCATACTTAAACTAAGATCCCTAAACTTTGGCTCCATCATGGTTTTGCTGTCTGAATTACAAATTATTCACATTCGGGAAAATCAAAACTAAGTTTTCTTGCCAGAAATATTTGATAATATCAATGAAATGAAATAAATGGCAAAATAATTCAAGCATTTTTAGAAATCACTGCACCTATAAAATCATACAATTTCCATTAAATTATATAATCCAGGGACGGAGTATATAGTGCCAGGTGGCGCTAGTGGTAAAGAACCGCCTCACAATGCAAGAAAACACTAGAGACGCAGGTTCGATCCCTGGGTCGGGAAGATCCCCGGGAGGAGGAAATAGCAACCCACTCCAGTCCTCTTGTCTGGAGAATCCCATGGACACAGGAACCTACAATCAGTAGTGTCACAGAGTCGGACACGACTGAAGTGACTTAGCATACAGCACATAGTCCAGAGACTTGACAACTTTTTCAACAGTACAACCGCTCTGGACATAGAGCTGTACCAACAATAACCCATGGAAAGCCAGCATTAAATCGCGCAAGGTAATTCTATTAAGAATATGGAACCGAGGTTTTCATCTGGTGTGTTTGCGGGTCTTTGGGTTTTTTGGTTACTGTTGCTGTTGTTTGCAACCAGGTGAACGAATGAGCTGAAAGATCAAAGTCGAATCCCTTCCGATTACTTCCTCCGCTTATAAATATAAGGCTCGTGAGTCAAGACTTGCAAGGTCCACGTGCCCAAGGGTTGAATCTCCTGGGTTGCTGCCCCCGGGCCTGCGCCACCCGACCGGTCTAGCACGCGCCTCGGGGACCCCTGGCCAGGGTACCGGGCGCCGCAAGGCTGGAGGAAGCAAGGGATCGAGAGCAATAGAGAGGAGAGGGAGCGATGGCGGGCCCTTACCGAGCTCCGTGCCCTGCTGGTGCGCCGACATGTCTGGGAGGCCGCAGCACAGCTGGCTCCGGGAGCCCGCCTCTGCACCGCCCTTCCTCCTTCCTCCAGCTCCTGCTTCGCCCCACCCCTGCTTCGCCACGCCACGCCCCTCTTCCGCCAGGCCACGCCCATCTGGGGGCGGAACCGCTGAACAGCCCCGGATGGCTGGAACCGGACCCCCTGGACTGAAGAGGAAATCGCACCACCTATCCTCCTTGGTCCTCTCCGCCAGGCGCGTAACTCCCGTACTAATTCCCGCGAATCACGCTGCGAGATCTCGTCGTCAAATGCTTCAGTTACCGACTGCACTGAACAAAAAGCATTTTGAAACTTTTCCCGGGTTGCGAAACAAGACGGGAGAAGCTCCTCCCAGTTACTGTTGGCAGAGCTGTGCAGCCCCGCACCTGAAAGGGCATCGGTGGTCCCCGAGTTTTTTAAGGGCGACCAACCTGCACGCCGGAGTCCCAACTTCTAACCTAGGCTTCCTGAAGAGAAGCAGCTCTGTGGCCTGAAAAACCAGGGGGCTTAACAATGGGAAGACCTGGGGGCTCAAGCGATTAAGTGTGACGCTGGCCATAACTGCCTTTTTAAGCTTCGTTTTTTTCATCTGTAAGAAAGTACCTTGACAACATCTTGGAGCTCTAGAACTCCGATTCTGTGAATTTTTTCAGCCTGACTTTTTTATGACCTGGAGGTTTAAGTTAACTGGAGTAACTCAGCACAGACCACTGATCAGCTCCGTACTCACCATCACAGACAGCTCCACTCTGATGAGGGAAAACTTAGTTTGTTTACCATGAGCCAGTTACTAGGCTAGGTACTTTCAGAGAGACGATGGCAATGGAGTCTCAGAACAATCCTGCCAAGCATGTACTGTATTCTCCATTGTTGCACATAGAGACATAAAAGTTATGAGCAGAGAGATCCTGGCCTAGCGGAAACTGCATGTGTGCTCAGTCCTGTCCAGCTCTGTCCAACCTCATGTACTGTAGCCAGCCAGTCTCCTCTGTCCATGGAATTTTCCAGGCAAGAATATTGGAGTGGGTTGCCATTTCCTTCTCCACGGAATCTTCCCCACCCACGTCTCTTGTGTTGTCTGCATTGGCAGGCAGATTTTTTACCAGCTGAGCCACCGGAGAAGACCAGTGGAAAGTGAGCAGACTCCAAATGGGTCCAGTTCCTTAATACACCAGCAATTCCTTCTAATGACTAGCTGATTCTAAGAATATTACTTCCTGTAAAATACAGATGATCAAAACAGATTTGACTTGCAAAGTTGTGTGTGTGTAAAGCAGTAGTACCATACATATTATGGCACTTAGTAGGGGCTCAACAAGTGGAAGCTGTTAATGTTATTGTCAGCTTCACACAGTAACTATAGGCTTCATAGGAAAAGTAATTCCAGTCTTTTCCCTCTACATGGAACTGCCTCTCATCCTTGTCAGCCCAAAGCCAACTGCTGAACATTTTGGATGTGTCTACATCCCATTCATATGTAAAAAAGCATTTTTAAAATTTTTTATTTATTTCATTTTTTGGTTGCCATAGATCTGTATATTGTCACCCTGCTTATTTAACTTATATGCAGAGTACATCATGAGAAACGCTGGGCTGGATGAAGCACAAGCTGGAATCAAGATTGCTGGGAGAAATATCATTAACCCCAGATATGCAGATGAAACCACCCCTATGGCAGAAAGTGAAGAAGAACTAAAGAGCCTCTTGATGAAAGTGAAAGAGGAGACTGGAAAAGTTGGCTTAAAGCTCAACATTCAGAAAACTAAGATCACAGCAGCCGGTCCCATCACTTCATGTCAAATAAATGGGGAAACAGTGGAAGCAGTGCCAGACTTTATTTTTGGGGGGCTCCAAAATCACTGCAGACGGTGATTGCAGCCGTGAAATTAAAAGACACTTACTCCTTGGAAGGAAAGTTATGACAAACCTATACAGCTTGTTAAAAAGCAGAGACATTACTTTGCCAACAAAGGTCCGTCTAGTCAAGCCTATGGTTTTCCAGTGGTCATGAATGGATGTGAGAGTTGGACTGTAAAGGAAGCTGAGCACGGAAGAATTGATGCTTTTGAAGTGTGGTGTTGGAGAAGACTCTTGAGAGTCCCTTGGACTGCAAGGAGATCCAACCAGTCCATCCTAAGGGAGATCAGTCCTGGGTGTTCATTGGAAGGACTGATGTTGAAGCTGAAACTCCAATACTTTGGCCACCTGATGCGAAGAACTGACTCATTTGAAAAGACCCTGATGCTGGGAAAGATTGAGGGCAGGAGGAGAAGGGGACAACAGAGGATGAGATGGTTGGATGGCATTGCTGACTCAATGGACATGAGTTTGGTTAAACTCCAGGAGTTGGCAATGGGCAGGGAGGCCTGGCGTGCTGCGGTCCATGGGGTTGCAAGGAGTTGGACACAACTGAGCGACTGAACTGAACTGAACTGAGGTCTCCGTTGCTGTGCATGGGCTTTCTCTAGTTGTAGCAAGCAGGAGCTACTCTTCTTTCCGGTGTGTGCACTTCTCATTGCACTGGCTTCTCTTGTTGCAGAGCACAGGCACTAGGCATGCAGCCTTCAGTATTTGTGGTGCACGGGCTTAGCTGTTCCAAGGCATATGAGATCTTCCCTGACCCGGGATCAACCCATGTCTCCTGCATTGGCAGGCAGATTCTTAACCACTGGACTACCAGATAAGTCCTGTATAATAGTATTTTACCTGTTTTTATCTTCATCCTGAAAGCCCGGAGCTGGCCTAGCACTCAAAGATAGACCACCGTGTTCCCCAGAAGAATATAATACGGTTTTACAGAACACCAACATCAGCCAAGGCCACTGGGACCATGATAAATTAACAAAAACAAGATCCCTTGTAGTCATCAGTTCAGTTCAGTTGCACAGTCATGTCCGACCCTTTGCGACCTATGGACTGCAGCACACTAGGCTTCACTGTCCGTCACCAACTCCCGTAGTTTACTCAAACTCATGTCCATTGAGTCGGTGATGCCATCCAACCATCTCAATCCTCTGTCGTCCCCTTCTCTTGCCTTCCATCTTTCCCAGCATCAGGGTCTTCTCAAATGAGTTGGTTTTTCACATCAGGTGGCCAAAGTACTGGAGTTTCAGCTTCAGTCCTGCCAATGAAAATTCAGGACTGATTTCCTTTAGGATTGACTGGTTGGATCTCCTTGCAGTCCAAGGGACTTTCAAGAGCCTTCTTCAACACCACAGTTCAAAAGCATCAATTCTTTGGCACGCAGCTTTCTTAATAGTCCAACTTTCATATGCATACATGATTACTGGTAAAACCATAACTTTGACTAGACAGACCTTTGTCAGTGAAGTAATGTCTCTGCTTTTTAATATGCCATCTATGTTGGTCATAGTCTGCTTTTCTTTTAAGGAGCAAGCGTCTTTTAATTTCATGGCTGCAGTCACCATCTGCAGTGATTTGGAGCCCCCCAAAATAAAGTCTGTCACTGTTTCCGTTGTTTCCCCATCTGTTTGCCATGAAGTGATGGGACCGGATGCCATGATCTTAATTTTCTGAATGTAGCATTTTAAGCCAACTTTTTCACTCTCCTCTTTCACTTCCATCAAGAGGCTCTTTAGTTCTTTGCTTTCTGCCATAAGGTTGGTGTCATCTGGTGTCTGAGGTTATTGATATTTCTCCCAGCAATCTTGATTCCAGCTTGTGCTTCATCCAGCCTGGCATTTCACATGATGTACTCTGCATATAAGTTAAATAAGGGCAGGGAAGCCTAGGGTGCTGCAGTCCATGGGGTCTCAAAGAGTTGGACATGACTGAGCAACTGAACTGAACTGAACCTGGAATTAATCTCTACGGTTTGACTGTATCTTAAATTGGCAGCATTCAGAGACAGTGGGGATACAATGCAAAAAGTGAGGTTTTTAAAAATTTTGTATTTATTTATTTGTGGCTGTGTTGGGTTTTCATTGCTGCACAGGCTTTTCTCTAGTTGCAGAGAGTTGGGGCTACTACTCTCTAGTTGCAGTGCATGGGTTTCTCGTTGCAGTGACTTCTCTTGTTGTGGAGCATGGGCTCTAGGATGCACAGGCTTGAGTTGCTGCGGCCAGTGGGCTCAGTAGTTGTGGCTCTCAGGTTTAGTTGCTCTGAGGCTTGTGGGATCTTCCCTGATCGGGGATCGAACCCATGTGTTCTGCATTGGCAGTTGGATTCTTTACCATTGAGCCACCAGGGTACTGCAGGGGTTTTTTTTTTTTTCCTTTCCTAATGAGGAAATGTTGCTAAATTTCACTCTGTGGATTTCAGTTTTACATTTTTTGCCTTCTGAAACTGCTGAAGTATCCATCCTTAAGGTAAGGCCTCTCAGATCCGTGGGCCACCACTCCTATGTTGGACTCTCTCAAAAGATTTTTCCTAAAGCAGATTCTAGGCTTCACCACAGCCTTACTGAATCATAATCTCTAGGACCGTGAAATCTGTATCTTTTAAAAATTCCCTCAGATGATGTTTACGCCAGCTAAGTGCAAAGGATCACCAGCCTCGAGGCAGAGAGTAAACCACGCATGCTAATCTGGAGCTCTGGCCCAAACTGTCTTTTACAAGGGTAAATCTGTCTTTATTCTTTTTACCCATGCAAATTTTGCATGCCATTCCTTTTTGTGGCTATGGGATTTTTTTTTTTTTGGCTACCCTGGGTCTCTGTTGCTGAGTGCAAACTTTCTCTAATTGCAGCAGGCGGGTGGGGGTCCTCTCTACTTGCAGTGTGTGGGCTTCTTATTGCAGTGGCTTCTGTCACTCCAGAGTATGGGCTCTGGAGCACAGGCTCAGAAGTTGTGGTGCATGGGCTTAGTTGCCCCGAGGGGTGTGGGGTCTTCCGGGACCAAGAATCAAACCATGTCCCCTGCATTGGTAGGCAAACTCCAATTATTGGACCACCAGGGAAATCCATGGATGTTTTTTAATAAAAAATTCGAGTTGTCAGATAAATTACTTATCTCCCGGCCCTCC